CTTGAGCATGTGATCAGCTGGTTTTGGTTGTCAGCAGCAAACTGGTTGATCCACTCTGAGAAGGTGCTATTTAAGAGACTGAGCTGAAAACAGCACCTCAGACTGAGGAAGTCTCTTGGATGAGAGACGAAACGTTTCTAGATTTTTTTTGCTTTGTTTTGTTTTTTGCTTTTTTGAATGTCCAGAGGACCAGATTGAACTTTTTTGGATTATTATTATTATTATTATTATTACTATTAATAATAATAATAATAATAATAATAATAATAATAATAATAATAATAATAATATTATTATTAATATTATTATATATAAATCTTTTATGGTCTTCACTCTAAAGAAGTTTATAAACCAAGGGAAAATGAATGTTGTGAAAATGTTTTCTTACTTGTTTGATGCATAAAAAAAAGTCTTGGTGATTCAGGGTTTTTAAATATATTTTCTTGCTGATTCTCTGATTTTTTATTTTTTTATTGAAATTGTTAAACATAGATGAAAAACATTAACAAAGTACAGTGTGCATTATAATAATAATAATTATTTACTTTTTAGGCAATAGAGTCAGTGGATGAAGTGGAGAACCACATGGTGAGTTTGAAGAACTTTTCCTTAGATGTTTGGCTTCATTTTGGTATAAGAGTAGTTGATTTATGTAGAAAAAGCCTCAGTGTTGTGTTGTTGACCTGGACAATTACAAATGTAACAGAGGTGTCATTATCAGTGGTTTGGTCGCAGTGACCCAGAGAAAACTGCTTATAGTCAGAATCTACACATTAGTTATGAAAACATGTTTATCTGCAAAAGTCTGTTCTTGTTGGTGTAATCTTGCTCAGAGATAAGATGCATTTAGAAATGATACTACTCTCAGACTGTTCTAACTTAATTACAACCATTTAAAATAAAATCTCAATATAAAAAAAGTTTAAATAGGTGTAAAGAGTTTTTGTTATAATATGAGCAGAGCTGCAGTTTTAGGAGTTCTTGCTTTCCACGAATACGTTAACAAACCTCTCTTGTGTCAGGTTCTAGATCTGCTGGTTCTGTTCATCCTCCACTCCACCAACGCTAACCAGAGCCGACGGGGGGCCGAGCGAGTCCTGAAGCTCAAAGTGAGGACCGGACTGCTCCAGGAGGCTCTGCTGCAGAAAACCTTCAGAGACTTCTCTCAGGTGGCCGTAAAAACATGAGCCTCACAAAGCACCTTTAAGCTCTTATTACACCAATATGTTGTATTTTTTATGCTACAGGTGATGCGAGGGTACTTCCCCTCCATCCTGGCTCTCGCTCAGAGTTTGTTGCGCTCTCCGGACCCCTGCGTGGTGCCTTTTGGTGGGCACATGTACCGACACTCATTTACTGCATTTGACCCTTATTGCCAACAGGTGGGATTGTTGTTTATATCAAACACGTAACCCTCTTTTTAAAAGCTCAAAGTAATTTTCACTCTGGTATTGGTGTTGTGTTTTGTAGGAGGTTGTGGGATCTCTGGTGACCCACGTGTGCAGCGGTGTGGGCGGGGAGGTGGACACGGCTCTGGATCTCCTCTGTGCTCTGGTTGTGGAGAAGCCCTCTGAGATGGCTCTTTATGCTGTTTTTGTTAAGGTAACCAGCTGGTTTCAGATGAGTTGTAACTGCTGGTGTGTCTGGGTTCGGTTTCTGACCCGTCAGGACGTTCCTCACAGGGGATCTTGGACTACATGGACAACCTCACACCCCAGCAGATACGAAAACTCTTCCACCCTCTCAGCAAATTGGCGTTTGGGCAGCAGCAGCAAGGGTCGCACATCCAGGTGCAAAGTCACACATTTAGGTTGTTAAAAAAATAAAATAAATCTGTCTTCTGTTTTTATCCTTTTATGATTCTCATTCTCTCTCTCACTGCAGGACGATATGCACATCGTGATCCGTAAGCAGCTCTCCAGCACTGTGCCCAAATACAAGCGAATAGGCATCATTGGTGCTGTGATGATTGTAGGCAGCATGGGAGCTCTTAGGTAACACCTCTCTCACACTTGCACACAGAAGTTTGACATTTTTTGTATCATTTTCCTTCACATCCTCATTCTGCTCTGTCTTCACCTCCATCCTAGGCCTGAAGGAAAGGATTCACAAGATGGCTCCTTGTCTCAGGAAACACTGAGACAGGTATTTGTCAGACATTAAAACAATAAAAGAAATTCTGTGAGAATCTTCACCAGAATAAAAGAAATTAAATATGTTTTTAGATTTTTTTTTGTTTGTTGTAGATTTGCCTTTTTAGCTAGATTTGTTTAATCAATATTACTTTTGTGTCCAGTTCAAGTATCTTTATTGTCATTCGCATCACGTGGTACATGAGGTGGAACAAAATTATGTACTCAGGGTCCCAGTTACACCCAAAAATAGCAGAAATATAAAGTATAAAAAGAAACAGTATATAAGGATCTAAGACACACACCAAGATACATGTGAAACGAACGCTTAATACGCTAAAAGATCCAAGATACTGTATATGCTAAACACTAAGTGTAAAACAATTTGGCATATCAAACAGCTAAGATATACACTAAACAAATGCCAAACAGTACACTAAAAGATCTAAGACAGGGTTGTCAGACCTACTTACAAAAGGGGGCCAGAATTAAAACCTTTTTCAAACTAAGGGCCAATTTCAGAAACATGAACGCAAATCTGATACCCGACATCTTTTCTTGGTCACAGGTTCCTCAGCAAGAGTTTGATTGGTCTCATTTGATGTTCTCTGTTGTGCTTTTGACATCACAATCAAAGATGACTGAAAAAATTCAAGTGATAAAAGTATTTTACGTTTCACATATAATCTTGGGGGCCAGATAAGACGTCAACGAGGGCCACATTTGGCCCCTGAGCCTTGACACATATGATCTAAGACATACGCCAAACACTAATAATGCAAAACAACACGGCGTATCAACAGCAGCCCGAACATGAGTCTGTGTCTGTTGGTGAAAGTGTAACTGGGAGTTATACCTGTAGCTGAGATCCTTTGATATATTCAGAGTTATATCGGTGTTTTATGCTGCACATTTTTGCCTGTGTGCAGGTCACAGCTCTGTTGGAGCTGGTGAAGTCGAGCAGCGGCAGCTCCCCTGAGGCTGCAGCTCTGTACTATGACGAACTGGCCAACCTGCTGTGGAGCTCTGCACTAGACCCACAGGTGCAGGTGAGTCTCTGCAGTTTCACATCTGAAACGGCTCTTGTCTACAGCGTGAATGTGAACGTATCTGATGACTAAGTGCTCATTGTTTTACAGGAAATGATTGGAACGAGCGTTCTGGATGACTTCCAAGATGACTTTGTGGTGGACCTCGGGCCAGATATAACAGGGTTGGTGCTCAGAAAAACGAGTGGGTTAAAAATGTGTTTTTTCAGTTCAGCAAAAGAAATTTCACATAAGTGGAATAAGCTGCTTTAGATTGCTGATTCTGATTTAAACAGAAATGTTCACATTGATGTTAAAAAATGTTTGTGAAGGCGCACATTTCCACGTCTGAAGACATTTACTCAGAACAAATCTCTGGCTTTGTGAATATTAGGCTTGTCAGCTAACTTTTAAACAATGCAACAAAAGAAAAAGGCATTTCCAGTTTTTTTCCAGAAGTTTTTAGGAGTAGATCAGGGACTTGCAGGAGAAAGTTTGAGACAAAATTTACTGAGACTGTTTTTGTTTTAAACAAAAATTAAACATTTTTAAACAGTTCAAGCTCTGTCCCTAACCTTAACCTTTTCTTAATGTTTTTTTCTTATATTTACCTAAATTTATTTGCCCTTAATTTAAAGTCTTAGATGTTCTAAACAACTTTTTAAATTTAATATTACCTTTTACTTTTCTTTTTTATCCTATTTTATGTTTGATAATTTTTCTGTTTCAATGGTTTTATATTTTTGGCTCATTTGTTATTAATTGTTTTATGGTTTTGTACAGCACTTTGTCGACTTGTGTTGTTTTAAACATGCTCTTCTAATGAAGGCGGTTTGATTTTTGTCTCCCAACAAAAACGTTTGCATGAAGCATTTTGTCCAGGTAGATGCAACAAGTGATTCCTTCCTTTTGTTTCAGTTCCTTCCCCCTTCCAGCCCATGTGATGTACAATCTGGATGAGGAGGAGAGTCAGGGGTGCATCGCCATCAACCTGCTGCCTCTGCTGGCCAAAGAAACCCAAAACAAAGGCGAGCAGCAGACTCAAACCAGCAAATCACCAAAGTCAGTAACTCCAGTTCTGATGATTGACAGCTCATTTGAACACAAATGTCTTCTTTTTGTCCTACGCAGCAGATATAAATGTAGTCTCTTAATATTTTCTATTTGTTTTCTGCCTTTTCATAGGCAAGTGTCTCCTCTGTGCTTATCTCCATTTTTTCGCCTCCTGAGGCTTTGTGAGGAGAAGCAACATCAGGGAGACCTGGATGAGATTGATGCACTTTTGGGTGAGATAAAGGAGGATGAAAATACCAATCTTCTTTTATCGTTTTCTTTTGTGGGCTTTAAAACAATGTATGTCTTTGTGCTCACGCTTGGCCTGTTGCAGGATGCCCAATGATCTTGACAAACTTGGATGTTGTGGAGAAAGTCGAGAGCCTGTCAAAAGCTCAGAGGGAGCTCTTCTGTTCGTTGCTTTTTCACACCATCAACTGGTTCAGAGAGGTAACTACACATCATTGAACTATTTAATGAAAGACTTGCAGCTGACGTGCGTCTTTTCCCAGGTTGTAAATGCGTTCTGCAAACAAAAAGAAACCGAGATGAAGATGAAAGTGATGACTCGCCTGCAGAACATCACGTATCTGCAGACGCTGTTGGAGAGGGCTCTTGCAGGTGTGTTTCTGCTGTGGTTTCCATCCCAAACCTCTCCTTTAGGCCACGCACGGTCACTTTTACATCGTTTATTTCCCACGTTTAGCAACTCCTGGTTACGTTCCACCTGTTTCCAACTTTGATGGAGAGAGCGCAGACGGGATCGCACAAAGTTTTACTGTTCCTGTGACCAAAGCTAAGAAAAGTAACTGCACACACCTGCTACTTTATTCTGTGTTGTTACTTGTTTTTGTTCTTTGGTTGAACTCATGTGGGTTGTTTAGATGGTGCAGGAAGGAAGAGGAAGGCTCCTGGTAAGAATTCATTAGAAGGAAGCTCTCAGTCTGAGGAGGCAGCTGAAGCAGATGAAACTCAGCAGGTATAATGTCTGTCTTTCATATAATTCTGTTTAAAGCATTTAGTTGTGTGTAGCATAAACTAAAATCCTCTGAAGGAGCAGCCTGAAAAGGAGAAAGAAAAGGAGATCCGTCCAGGCGTCAGTTTGACCGCCTACAGGCCGTTTTTCAGAGAGCTGGACTTGGAGGTGCTCGGCGTTCTGGAGTGTGGTCTGCTGTCGCGCTCGCTGCTGGACTCGGAGCTTCACACCAAGGTGGAAAAAACCGGAGACTCCAGATTTGTTCGACTGTACTGTTAGACATAAACAGTTTCATTTTATATTGTTGAAGGTGCGAGAGGATGTGCTGCTGGGTCCCGGTGAGCTCGTCTTCCTGCTGGAGGATATGCTTTGCAAGCTGGAGTTCAGTCTTACAGCTGCCACTGCTAGGAGAGCCCCTTTCCTCAAGGTACTGGGAAAAGCAAACATTCAGATCCTTGTGTATTTGCAGGCTACCTAAACTTGAGTTCACCTGCTGTAATCTGTAACCTAATTAAAGATGTTTCTGCTTAGGCCAGGGCTGATAAAAGCATAGGCTTCTCCCACCTCCAGCAAAAGAGCTCCAAAGACATCACCTCCTATTGTGTCCACCTGTTGCCTGCCCTCTGCACACACTTGGAGAACTGCCACAACCGTTTCCAGGTACACAGATGCTGAATTTGACCAAAAAGTGATATTTTTTTAAAGCCTATAACTAGGCCTGTCGCGATAAAGAATAAATCAATTAATCACATGATAAATTAAATTTATCAACCTCATTTCAATTTTTCAGCGTTATCGTTTCTTCGTGTCTCTCTCTTTCTACTGAAGACACTGGATGACAAAAGGCAAATCACGTTTTTGGAGGTTTTGGGGCGTTTTTTTAATTAAAAACTTTGGGTGACAAATGCTATGCTAAAGAGCTCAAACCACATAGAGCGTCTGCCATTTTGGGAACTGAAAAACAGGAATGAGAGACAGCCCATGTCACGTCAAGGGGCCTCCCTCCCATTTTTCTTAAAGAGACACGCTGCTCGCTCTCTCACTATTCATCCTTTGGTCCAAACAGTCTTATACTGCCATCCAGTGGTCAAAAAAGGTTACTACACTCAACACAAATTAACCAGCATTTCTTAAATTTGACAACAATGACTAATTATTGTCAAATTTCAAACAATATTATCATTTATCGCAATAATTTGAGACAATTAATCGCCCAGCAAAATTTATTATCGTGACAGGCCTACCTATAACCGTCTCATCTGTACATTCACAGGCTGTGATGTCTGAGAACCATGGAGTTGTGGACGGGCCAGCTACAGATGTGCAGGAGCATCAGTTTATGTCTTCAGCTTACCAGCTGCTCTTGCAGGTCCTGAACACTACATTTAGCTGGTGAGTAAAAAGAACCTTGTCATGTTAGAGTTTGAGAGTTGGAGCCTTTAGATAAAGGCCCGTCTCTTGCTCGTGTTGTTTCTGTATTGTTTGCGTGTATTCGGAAGGTCTGGATTCAGTCAGCCGGGCCAGAGGAACTTATTGAAGAAGGCTTTGGGGGTTTTGGCTGGACGACTTAAAGAGGGAGGTCCTGATCTGACCCTGGAGCAGCTTGTGAAGTGAGTGATACGTTTTCTGATTGAACTAAGACACATTTTTGCGTATGATTTAATTGAGACTTTTAGCTGTTTTCAAAAGATTTATCTTTTGTGACTCAGAAATTAAAGCTACAAATTAAAATTTATTCATTCAACCTTTATTTATACAGGTTAATCCCATTGAGCCTCAGGGACTAATTTACATAAAATAAAAAAATATATATATATTTTAACATAAAATAATCATTTACATAAAATAATGAACAGCATCTGCAAATTTAATGCATAGATCTGCAGTAAACAAATTTATAGAACACATATACAGCTGATCCTAAATGAAAAATAAACGTTAAACAATCTCCTTGGATTCCTTCCATCCATCCATCCATCCATCCATCCATTCATTATCTTTACACACTTCTTCTTTTTTGTGTCACGGGACTCACTGGTGCCCATATCCAGCAGTCACTGTGTGAGAGGTGGAGGACGCCCAGGACAGGTCTTCAGTCTATCACAGGGACACATAGAGGCATACAATCAATCACTCTCTCACATTCCCAGTTTTTTTTTATTTTAATTTAACTTTAAGTTCATTGGCAGGTCCCAAAAACAGGTCTCTCTTGAAAATGAGTTCTCATGACTCAGTGAGACTACCTGTATAAGTAAAGGGTAAATTAAATAATGAAGGAAACAAAAAGGTCTAGGGGAAAAAATATCTGTATTGGTATCGGTTATCAGCCAAATAAGTTTTAACATATTGGCATATCGGATATCGGCCAAAAATCCAATATCGTGCATCTCTAGTTCTAATGTTGGGGTGGTATTGTATACCAGCAATAACCAAATGATGCTTTGATTCACGTGTCTGTGTGGTGACTGATATTGTTTTCACCTGTTGTTTCAGATATAGTTTTGACTACCTGCTGAACTTCCGCAGCACAATGCCAAGCCTCAGCACAGCTCTGTCTCTCTCCCAGCTTCTGTCCACAGTGGCAGAGAAAAGAGGGAATCCAGCCGCCTACAGAGAGCAGACCGGTCAGACTGCCTTATTCCAATCCTTTGATCACATTTCTAGTAGAGTATGATGATAATGAGATTAATTTTACTTCCTAGCTTCCCTCGCTCGACATTTTCTGAGCCAAGTCTGGGTGACAGCGAGCGGAGAGAAGGAGCGAGGGCACAAGTTCAATGAGGCTCTCCACACTGTTCTAAGGTTGGTCCATATGTCAGAAATTATGCTCAGAAGACAAGCAGCTCAAAGAAAACATTGATTTATTTACACAGATATCCACGTTTGTATTTTTATGTTTTGATACAGGCTTTCCAACACTGTTGTTTATGGTTCTAATTAAGGATGCATGATATTATCAGCATGGTATTGGTATCAGCCGATATTAGCGATAAAGTTAAATATTGGACATCGGCCGTTCCATCACAATAACTCACCAATATAAAAGGCTTCTGTTTTTTTTTTTTTTACACAGTTTTTGTGGCTATTTTCTGACAAAGGAAAGAAGCTGACATTATTTTTTGCACTTTTGATTTTATTTCTACAGAGCATTCATATTCATAGAGATTTGAGTTGATCATTAAGATTGTATAATCACATATTGGGCTTCTGTTTTAAGTTCATTTTAAATTTAAGAAACTGTCAAGTATATTTATTAATACACTACTTATGCACTTTTCACTTGTCGCTTGTGAACATGTTGAGTTTTGTGAAAATTTACAAATTTGCACTGTTCGAGTGTTGTCATTGTGTTAGAGAGAGTAAATGTCATGAATACATTTGACATTAAACATAATCCAAGTTGAAGTGTTACATCATTTTCAACCCCTTTTTTGGCATCTGCATTTGGCAGCAGGACAAATTGACAAAGACCATGCAGAATAATGTAGTATTTTAATTCCACAGCAGAGAAAGCGATGTAGTTTCTGTAAGTAGGTCCCAAAAACAGGTCTCTCTTGAAAATGAGTTCTCACGACTCAGTGAGACTACCTGTATAAGTAAAGGGTAAATTAAATAATGA